CTTCTGTCCTTTTTGGTATTTCTCTGCTTTTTGTTTAATAAATTCCTTTTTTTTAAAGAACCTCTGGCTGAATTCTGGGTCCAAAATTTTTTACATTTCTTTGTACAAGACGTGATTTTTCTTTGAAGGGAGTCTTGTTTTGTCTGTGTGCCATAGATTTTTGTATTTTGTTTTATTTAGAGAGAATTCAACTGATTTAAATTTTTACTATTTGAAAGCAGTAAGTGATAGAGCGGCACAGTAATGCATTTTCGGTTTATAACGCATGCACTTTTAATTATGTATTTACAGTGTATTAGGTCTTGGTTCAAAAGGCTATTTTAAATTCAATATGTTTTGATAAACGTTTAACCAGTCCGGCCCTCGGCTTGTAGCAAATTAGTTTTTTTGGCCCTCAGTGTGTTTGACTTTGTCATCCCTGCTTTAAAGCATCTGGAGGTCCATCATCGTCTGCACGTTCCAAGCCCGATGTAAATCAAAGACCCAGCCGCTGCTCTCCTGGATCGTTGGAGTCCATGTTTGAGTTTTGCTTTTGGCCATTTAAGTTCCAGGATGGAGGTATATAAGATCAGGGCCTGAATCCGCGGGCCTCCCACTCTGTTTAGTGATGGATTTTGTCAGACAGGATATTGTCTCTGAATTTCACGGATGGCTTCGCTTCCTGTGAAGCGACCTGGTTCTAGAACAGAAAAATGTGTCCTGCCTTTTTAAGGTATAATTTCAGTGCAACAGAGGTAAGAATAAATGGGTTTTGTTGTTTCTAAAATGTCTATATTATTTTTGGTGTGATGATGTCAGGATTTGGTTATTGAGTGTTGACCCAAAAGCAGAGGCAGGAAGGCAGAGGGGAATTTCTTTAGATTTAATTAAAAAAGGAAACTGAAAACAAAGGCAGGTTATCCAAAAATCCAAAAATGAAAACGAAGTCCAAACAAGCATCAAATCAGCAGTCCAAAAATCCAAAAGAATCAAACATAAAAACTAGTCAAAACGAACCAGAAACCGTGGAGACATCAGGGGAATCACTGTCACAACGAGGAAGACTCAGGAAGACGGAGTTGGAGGAATTTTGACAAAGTTTGGCAGTGTTTGACAAGGACCCAGTAAAGGGGAACTGAAGAGAGAGGGCTTTTAAAGGAGACTGAGACAAAGAGGGGGCTAATGAGGAAACTGGGAGCAGGTGTGCACAGATCAAGAGAGGGAAAGAGCTAGGGAAGAAGGAGAACACAAGAGGGCAGCAGAGAGCAACAAATAGAAACCAGGAAGACTGGAAATAACACAATGTTAAATTAATAGGACTATTAAACATGGAGAAAAGAAAAACTAAACACTCTAAAGAAAACATAATAGAACCCAGACTCGGACAGTAACTGGAAAAAAAAACAAAGAACACAGCAAGGAGTAAAGCAAGACTGAATACTATAACAGAAACCTAACAGATGAATTTGTTTCCTTTTTTTCCTGCCCCAATATATATTTTTTTAACCATCTTTTAAATGCTTGCTTTGGACGTTATATATCATCTTTATGTTAGTTTATTTCAGTCTGATCTAATTTCTGTAAGACTATTATGTAATAAGTGATGTTTCTCTTTTTGTCATTTTCTAACAGATCTAGCTCTATATCCATTTGTTTTACTAAATGAACTTTATTTTTCATTTTTGTAGTTGTTTACTGTATTTGACCGAAGTGGTTTTTTTAAAAGAATAATAATAATTGCTTGTTCCTACCAGTTTAGATGTAGTCCATCTATTTGATTCAATTTTGCAGCAGGTTTTATCTCTTGTCCTGGAGAAGAAATAATTTAGACAGCCGAGCTTCTCCTCATATCTCCAAAATAAAATGATCCCTTCAGACATAATCTGATGATGAGACAGGAAGACACCTGGGGACAAGAAGAAGTCGCCAGGCAGACGTCCATTCTGGATAGTTTCAATGGGTTCAACACAACCCATTTCCTGGTGATTTGTTTTCTGCTGGGATCAAATGTTCTTCATCTGTAAGATTTTTTCCTGCTATGACAGGACTCCCAGTTAGTGGGTGCTACAGGGAAGTCTCCAATGAAAGCGGTGATGTTTGAAAGGTTTGCAGAAGTGATTCTCTGTATAATGATGTCATTAGGTACATTTATATTATCAATTGTATGATGTGTTGCATTCAATGTCAGTAACACTGAGCCTGGTTCTGCTGGAGGTTTCTTCCTGTTCAAAGGGAGTTTTTCCTCTCCACTGTCGCTACAAGCATGCTTAGTGTGAGAGATTGCTGAAGAGTCAATGAGTCGATGCAATCAGCTGGTTTTCCTTAGATAGAAAACTTTGAATCAACCTGACTGGATGATCTGGTTGAACTGGAAAGTGCCTTGAGATGAAGTGTTGTGAATTGGCGCTATAGAAATAAACTGAATTTAATTGATTAATATGTTTACTGTGCTTGTCTTTATGTACCAAGTAACATTTCTCAGGAAAAAAAAACGTCCCTCACTGATATAACTGTCATCTCAATCTGCTGCCAGACATTTCATAAAAAATCTGACCTTTTCATCTGATTAAATTTTCTTGATACTTTCATAAACATATTTTTCTGCAAGTGAACAGAAAATATCAAACCAGATTTTAAAAAATGACTGTATTTATTTTATCCTTCCTGCCGAGCCCATTGGCAATAATATAAAGGATTCCCATGAAGAATACATAAAGATAAATAATTTTGTTCATTATCTCTACTTCTTGTTTTATAACTTGTTTTTTTTTTATCATCTTATTAAAAACGTTTGCTGTTTCTAAGAAAAGCGCCTGATCAGGATCAGAAGCTGCATCGTCATTTGAAGCAGAGAGGCAAATGCAATGATGCCAGAACTACATTAATAATAAGACCATGCACTTATTTATTCATCCAGTCACAATGATACATCTTCATTTCTAGATAGATAGATAGATAGATAGATAGATAGATAGATAGATAGATAGATAGATAGATAGATAGATAGATAGTAGTGATGGGTTAATGAGGCATCTTGAAGCGTTTACACATTGCCAAAATATAGATCCCGTGTTGATACTGTCTCACAAAATACTGACACCTGCTGGACATTTAAAGACACTACAGGCAGTTTATTTGCACGGACTGAACTGAATTGATTTGATACTGAAGAGGATTAGGGCCACTGAAGAAATAAAAAAAAATTAGCTGCTTTTTAATTTTTATTTCTACGGAAGAGGATTATGTTCACTGGGAAAAAAAGTTAACTAATTTTAAATTTTATTTCAGTTTAGTATGGGAAAAAAGTCAGAATTCTGAGATTAAAGTCAGAATTCTGACTTTTTCCCCCATATTAAACTGAAATAATATTTAAAAATCAATTAACTTTTTTTCCCCCAGTGGTCCTAATCATCTTTTGTAATTTGATGACCTAGCAAAATGATATAATTTAAGTTATTGTAGGTTCTATTGCATTATTTCATATCTATGTTATGTATCTATGTTTCTATCTATTAAATTGAAAATATATTTAATAATTTTAGATGCAGCAATAAATAATGTAAACATATATCATAATGTGAAGATTTAGGGGGAAATGTGAATGAGGATGCTTGTGGACTATTCAATTCAATTCAGTTTATTTATATAGCGCCAAATTCACAACACATGTCATCTCAAGGCACTTTACAGTTCAACCAGATCATACAGTCAAATTGATACAGAGTTTTCTATCTAAGGAAAACCAGTTGATTGCATCGACTCATTGACTCTTCAGCAATCCCTCACACTAAGCATGCTTGTAGCGACAGTGGAGAGGAAAAACTCCCTTTGAACAGGAAGAAACCTCCAGCAGAACCAGGCTCAGTGTGAGCGGCCATCTGCTGAGGCCGACTGGGGTGCAAGGAGACAGAAGCAGAGATACAAAAAGCAACTGTAAAAGGCGGCCCCATCCAGGAAACACACAGCCAGGCAGACGAGCTCCGAGCCAGCTCCCATGTCAGAGGATGAAGAGAGTACATCCAGCCAGTCACGGTCAGAGAAACAGGACCACACTGGAAAACAGGCCAAGCTCCAACATCTAAACTAGGATTTTAAATCATAATTTTTAAACAATAAGTACAGTAAAATAAGTAAATAAACCATGATTTAATTTCAAATTAACTTTAATTCAGATAACTTGAGTGATAGCTGAGAGGAAAAGGATGACACAACAAGAAAATTAGAATAAAAACACAATGGCTGACACGTTTCTATTCCTTTTAGGCTGCTCCAAAATTCTTGATACTTTTAAAGATAAACCACAAAAAAATAGAATTTTTTTTTTAGCAGATGCACCATGTTGACAGATAGAACATTAAACATAGTTTAGTGTGTCAGTCGGGGTGGGGGGTTGGGGTAGATTTATCATTAGGCAGTTGTCTAGGGCCCCAATTTCCTGGGGGCCCCATAAAACTCTGTTTACATGTTTGGTTATTACAGCTATAACTTATTTGTGCACATAAATTATGTTTTTGATAAAAAATCCTTTGGCTAAAATGCCATCAGAACGCTGATAATATTAAGTGTGTCTCAGCCCCCCCCCCCTTCAGTGTCCACCATATTGGATCAGTCCATTTGCTGCACATGTTCAGAAAGGTCCAAACAGACAGCAGCAAACCATTTGAAAACAAACCATGCAAAGAGCAGTGTTGCCAACTTAGCGCTTTAGTCGCTATATTTAGCCACTTTTCAGACCCCTCTAGCACTTTGATTTCTAAAAAGCTCCTAGCGCCAAATCTAGAGACTTGAAAAGAGCATGAAAAGTCAGCTGAGTACAAAACATAGAGAGGAAAACAAGAAGAGAGGGACAAACCCTAGAACAAATAATGGGTGTCAATTCTATTAACATTTCTATAAGGGGTCTGTTTTATGTGTTGTCTTCTCAAACCAGAAGGCCCCAGATTTCCTAAATTCGCCCCTGGCGTCAGAGTATCGGTCATATGAACTTTTTTCAAACGGCACGCGCACCTTTGCCGTGTTTTCACCGTGGGCTCCACCATCGGTCTCACTAACAGACAGATGTGTTTCGTATCTCCGACTCTGTTCGGGTCATTTCGGCTCTAGTCGAGTCATCAACCCGGAAGTGTAGTGCAGTTCAATTATAGATGAAATATGCCGTCAACATACATCTGCAGCGCGCGCCTGAGAAACAGCAGGTGGACTAAAAGCTAAAACAGAAAACCAGACAACAAGAACCATTTTCTTTAAATTGCTGTTTTTCTGCGTTTGCTTCGGTGAGACTGGACTGAAAATAATCGCTAGCAGCAGGAAGCCTGGGAACCCGGACGGACAGTGATGGTCACTGAGATGCCAGCGACCCGCGAGCCGCAGTGACCTCCCGGAGACATGCGGGGTGTCGGAGGCAGGCTGTGGGGAGGGTCTGCTGGGCTGGCTGGCAGTTAGCTCAGCAGCTAGCCTGTCGGGGCTGCGGCTGGAGGTCGAGCAGCAGCAGCAGCATCCATCCGCCGCTACAGCATCATGGAAACGGTAAGAGACGCGATGCTGCTGTTTCCTGTTCTAACTGCTTTGTAGAGAGGGACGCAGCTGTTACCGTTTAACGGCAGGTAGGAAGCCAACAGCAGCAGGTAGGAAGCTAACAGCAGCAGGTAGGAAGCTAACAGCAGTTAGGGAGCTAACAACAGCAGGTAGGGAGCAGGAAGCTAACAGCAGCAGGTAGGAAGCTAACAGCAGCAGGTAGGAAGCTAACAGCAGCAGGTAGGAAGCTAACAGCAGCAGGTAGGAAGCTAACAGCAGGTAGGGAGCTAACAACAGCAGGTAGGAAGCTAACAGCAGCATTTAGGAAGCTAACAGCAGCAGCTAGAAAGCTAACAACAGCAGGTAGGGAGCAGGAAGCGAGCAGTAGGTAAGAGGCTAACAGCTGGTAAGAGGCTAACAGCTGGTAGGAAGCTAACAGCAGGTAAGAGGCTAACAGCTGGTAGGAAGCTAACAGCAGGTAAGAGGCTAACAGCAGGTAGGAAGCTAACAGCAGCAGGTAGGAAGCTAACAGCAGCAGGTAGGAAGCTAACAGCAGCAGGTAAGAGGCTAACAGCAGGTAGGAAGCTAACAGCAGCAGGTAGGAAGCTAACAGCAGCAGGTAGGAAGCTAACAGCAGCAGGTAGGAAGCTAACAACAGCAGGTAGGAAGCTAACAACAGCAGGTAAGAGGCTAACAGCAGGTAAGAGGCTAACAGCAGGTAAGAGGCTAACAGCAGGTAGGAAGCTAACAGCAGCAGGTAGGAAGCTAACAGCAGCAGGTAGGAAGCTAATAGCACAGGTGCAGGTAGGAAGCTAATAGCACAGGTGCAGGTAGGAAGCTAATAGCACAGGTGCAGGTAGGAAGCTAATAGCACAGATGCAGGTAGGAAGCTAATAGCAGCAGGTAGGAAGCTAATAGCACAGCAGCAGGTAGGAAGCTAATAGCACAGCAGCAGGTAAGAGGCCAACAGTAGGTAGAAAGCTAACAGCAGGTAGGAAGCTAATAGCACAGATGCAGGTAGGAAGCTAATAGCACAGATGCAGGTAGGAAGCTAATAGCAGCAGGTAGGAAGCTAATAGCACAGCAGCAGGTAGGAAGCTAACAGCAGGTAGGAAGCTAACAGCAGGTAGGAAGCTAACAGCAGGTAGGAGGCTAACAGCAGGTGGCGGTGCTGTGCTGCCATTATAACCGCAGCGCTGCAGACTTCATTGTGTTTAAATGGTCAGAGCTGAATTCTAGGCTGACAGGAGGATCAGATTTTTGGCTTCAGGGGGAAAGGTGAATAAATGTGGGCTGAGGAGTCATGGAGTCACAGCCAACCAGTCATGTGAGCGACTGGTTGGAGCTCAGCTGTGGATCCAACCGCTCAGCTCCACGTTGGTGTCAGATGGAGGGAGGAGCGGACAGTCAGCTGGTGCTCAGCCCCCCTGCCCCGCAAAGCTTCATTAGCATCACAACAGGCAGGCAGGCTGGGTGGCTCTTCCTGCTCACATGAAGAGGATCCCTCAAAGTGATCGGATGATGAACAGCAATTATAATTGAATTAGGATTTATTTCCTAAGAAGGTAGGAAGCTTTATGCTGATGTCTGAAAAACATGGAAACAAACAATCAGGTCTGGTTTAAGGTTTGGAGCCAAATCTACCCTGGTTTTATGTCTGCATTTCTGCTTCAGCTACAAATCAACTGATTATCTCTGCGGTTTTCATTGAAAAAGTAGAAAAAGACAACTTTTAAGAGTGGAAGGATGTAAACGTTGGGACTTCTTTGCACTTTAAGGTGTTAAAGTAGCTTTATTTGGAGAAGAAAATGACAAAAACAGAAGTTTGTTTTAGGGAAATATGTTTCCCAAAGGTTAGCCGCATCTGGTCAAAGTCAGGAAGTGTGAAATATTCAACTTCAGGAAATATTTTAGTGGTTGTGAAGAAGTTAGATTGGTCCAATCAGAGGAAAAGGTAAAGGAAATCACAGCCTGATTGTCAAATATCCCTCCATTTTAGATTATTGCTGACCTATATTTGTCAGCACTAATAGGTTTAAGTGTTTCTAATGCTGGGAAGCTTTGCTAACCGTGTTCCTCCTCTAACTCACATCAGTCCTGGTAAAGACCGCCCTGAAAGTCACGACTGTTCCACATGCTTTACACATTGTCCTTCCTCTTAGCTGTGTGCATGTTAGATGTGCTAATCTATATGTTCATCAGGATAAATGATAGAAGGAGCTGATGATGTTGGATGGAGGAGCAGAGGGCATTAGGTGGACTGATCGATGAAGACGCCGACCGCTGCACATCTGCGCTTCAAAGATAAATCTGTTTTATGCATTGAAAAACAAACACTTCCTGAATATGGGTAGCTGTCTGTGAATTTAAACAGTCAAGGAGCATTTTAGGAGCATTATTTATGATTATTTAGCATGTTTTAAAGGAGAAGTCCGCTCATATTCAGAATCCACACTTCTGAAAGTACTTTAATTATGAAATCATTCTATCCAGTGTTTTTAATTCAGAGTAATTTTCATGTGAATGTGCTTTACTGGAGGCATCCATGTTTGTCAAAGAACACTACTGCCACCTACTGGTTAGTGACGTCACGGTGCGGTATCGGCTGTTGATCAATTCCCAGTGCTGTATCTGGTGTTTGTCACAACGCGCTATTATCCAAGTCATCTTGAAAACATTCTTCTTCAAAATGTTGGCTACATATTACGGGTTTTTTCTCTGGCCAGAAGTTCGATGGCAAATCTTTCCTCTTCCGGTTGCAGATGTGTCTAGTAGTTCCCGTTTATTTTGCTTGTAAAGCGGGGAGAATGGCGCTAGGCTTACCGCACCGTGACATCACTGCTGGAAGATGGCAGGAGGGAGGGGCTACTATATTTGGGCAATAAAGGCCGCTCCCAGACTCGGTGATCATCACGACAGAAATTTATATTTTTATTCTTTTACTGATTAATGCTAAATTCATTAAATCACGGCGAACATATTAGTTTTAGGTATAAATAATGATCCATTGATTATTCCTTGCTGACCGGACTTTTCCTTTAAAAGAAAAATAATGGGGTTGTTTTTTTCAAAGTAATTTTTTCTCTCTCATTTATTAATTTATAAAAATCAAATTTCCAAATTGAATATATAGACTGTCAGGTAAAAAAAACAACAAAATATTCCAAAGTAAATATTTATTGTTGTAACAGAATATTTATTTTCCAAACTAAATAATCATAACTATTTCTCCTTATTTCTCCTGACTGCTTGACTTTCCAAGCGGCTCCCCATCATTGCCGTTTTCTCAGGTTTTAGCATGAGCAGACTAGTTTGTTATTTCTAGGTATAAATCCTAACCCGCCGCGGCCTGATGTCTTATTTTAGCCAAAGATCTTCACCCTTCAGTGCGGGCAGGGCTCCGATCGACTGCTCAGTGTGACACAGGTGCAACATTATGCAACCCTGGACTAAATATACTGAGTTTATACTCCAGGATTTCCAGTCAGTTGCTTTATGTGTTATTTAACTGCTTAGCTTTTTAGCTTAAAAAAACAACAGCATTGGAATTACAGTTCTGCAAATGTGGACCTTAATGAGCTTTGAACGCTGGCTAACATGAAACATGACACCAACCATTAAGGCTTCTGTTGAAACCGCAGAAAGGATTGCAAAATGACTTCTAACGGGAAAATCAATTCAGTGTTGAAAGAAATGTTGGTTTTTCATCGACTGACGGTAAAGTTTACAGAAGGACCAGAGAAAAAAAGGGCAACTTCATCGTTTCAGGACAGAAAACTGGATTAAAAACAAATGAGAGGCAGATGGGTGGAAAGGAGAGTCACAACATTCGCTGCTGAGCTGTAAGCAAAACCCAAACAGATGAGAGGATGAAACAGGTTCTGTCTTTTTCTTCTCTGTTTGGTGTGGAGGGGATTTTCATTCTGTTTTTCGTTATAATATTTCATCTTATCGAGCAAAAAGCTTTCACCCTTTTCTTCTGTTTAGGACATTTAATGTCAGGATCAGAAAAGATTTCAGCCGCTTTAAAGATGTGTTCAGCAATGAGAGGATTAGTTTGCTGCCATGTTACACCTGATGAACACACAGTGTTGATTTTCATTATTTAGGACCATAAAAGCCAGATGTGGGTCTACAGATTACTCATCTGATCGCTATGTTTGTGCTTCCTCCTTTAGACACGGTTGAGTTTCTTTCGGAGTGTGGGAAACTAGAAGAAACATAGAGAACTGGCAAAGTTTGATTGAAAAGTTAACTAAACTCACTATATCCACCAGGATATATAAGTAAGAATATACATAGTGACACAGATTAAGAATTAATATAATTTATTAAGTGTATGTAACACAAATCTAGATGAATAAATAACTATTGGTGACAGAACCTGCAAAGGAACAACTGTGTTGAATCACTTTAGCAATATAGCAGCAGAATACAGCTCATTCTTTCCACGTAGCTTTCAGAAACAAGTTTGAAGCCTTTGCCACACCAAGAAGATTCTACTGGAGAAAACCCATCAGGGATATTTCATTCAGAAGTAATTATTTACTAATAGCGTAAATGATAGCCTTTAATTTTGATATAATTCCTGCTCTAAGTGGGTGGCTTTTTCAGCTTTTACAGTCTCTGTACTCCAGTTAATGTCCACATGCGTCGCCTCTTGGGGTTTTCACCTACTGTTGGTGGCAGCTGGAAGTATATGGACGGAAAAACAAAGTCTCATTGGAATCTGCCTTTTTTTAACACCGAATTTTAAACACTGAATTTTTTTAACACTGAATTTTAAACACTTAATTTTTTAGACATTGAATTCCTCACACTCAATTTTTTTCTGGTAAAATTCACTAGAAAAAAATTCAGATGCAAAAATTCAGCCTCTAAAGCGTTGACCTTTTGGTGAACTCAAGCCAAAGCAATCCACACTCGATAGAGTCGAGCAGCTTCTAGCCAATGAAAACAGCTAATTTCGTCACGTGACACAACAGCTGCGCTCAGCGCTGTTTCCGGCTGAACGAGGATTTTTTTTTTTGTTAAACAGATAGAATTACAAAACGTCAGTTAGCTACTAACAGACAGCTATTAGAGTTTCTCCTCTTATCAGACTGGGTGAAACAACTGAGCTGATCCTGTCTGTTTGCCGCCGCCATGTTGCCTCTGGCCGAAATGAAGAAGAAAAATAATTTTGCCGCCTTGTTACCGACAGGGGGCGCAGCCGTTGTGTCACGTGACGAAATGAGCTAATTTCATTGGCTAGAAGCTGCTCGACTCCATCGAGTGTGGATTGCTTTCGCTTGAGTTCACCAAAAGGTCAACACTTTTGCAGCTGAATTTTTTTCTAGTGAATTTTTACCAGATAAAAATTGAGTGTAAGGAATCCAATGTCTAAAAAAATTCAGTGTTTAAAATTCTGTGTTAAAAAAAGGCAGATTCCAATGAGACTGTTTTTCTTCCATAGAAGTCGATGTTAGCAGTTTTTCAGGTATATGGTGCAAACTGCAGGCACCAGGATAATAACAGCAAACATATTTTGCTGGTAGGTTTCTACATTTGAAGTTAATTTAGGTGTTAACTGTTTCAGAGGAGTGATCATAGCGCTCTGCATCAGCAGCGCTGTGTCTGACTCCCTGCCAGCTCCCAGATCAGCTTCTCTGATTGGTCGATGTGGCGCGTCCAGCAGCTAAAGTTAAGTTTTTCCAACTCCAGCAGCTGCTGACTGACATTTTGAGCAAAGTTTCCAAGAACAAGGCATAAATTAGTCATACACACACAGCTTTGTTTTTAAAAGATATAAATATAAAAAATATAACCGCGGATGTCTGGGAGACAGCGATTCGCCTACATGTTCTGAATGCTGGCGTACCATAAAGAATAATTTATGAGCAGTTTAGTTTGTGCCTTCAAGTCGTTGCCCATAGGAAGATGTTACTGGATGTAACCTAACGGAATATCTTCAGAACGGCTCCAAATCACACAAAACTCATATGAGTGAGTAGAACATGATGGAATAACGGAAAATCAAAGGACCAATGTGGAAAAAAAACGGGGTTCCCCTTTAACAAAAAAGTTTGAAACAACTAAAATGTATCTTATATTCTAGGTTCTTCAAAGTAGCCACCTTTTGCTTTGATTAGTGCTTCGCTCACTCTTGGCATTCTCTAACCCCAACTTCTCCTGAAGCTTAAAGTTATAGACTGCTAAAGTGTTGAGTTTAAAATCTGACTTACTGAGCAGACCTGTTTATACGTTCTTTTTATATCCTGAGAGAACCTAAAAACTAAGCGGAAGCTCAGAGCAGACCGTTACAGCTTCAAAGCTCTGGAATGACCGTCTTCAGCACATCAGACATCTTCTCTGACCGTTTTTAAATCTCTTGTCAAAACTTCTTTTGACAGTGTGCTTTATTTTTAATATTTTACCCAATTTTATTTATGTTCTTGTGTGAATGCTGTTTTGTGTTTTTTTTTGTACAGAACTTTGGTCAGCTGGGATTATTTTATAAGTGCTTAACAAATGAAATTGGATTGGACTTTTTCTGTCTGTATCTCTGCTTCTGTCTCCTTGAACCCCAGTCGGCCTCAGCAGATGGCCGCTCACACTGAGCCTGGTTCTACTGGAGGTTTCTTCCTGTTCAAAGGGAGTTTTTCCTCTCCACTGTCGCTGCAAATGACTCAATTTGAATTAATTTGTCTGTATGATCTGGTTGAACTGTAAAGTGCCTTGAGGTGACATGTTGTGAATTGGCGCTATATAAATAAACTGTATTGAAATTAATAAGCTTGTTTGATATAAATCATGTTTTTTTTATTGTCCAAATGTGAAAATGTTCCTTTATTTTCTGATAATTTCCTTTCTGTTTTCAGGATGACAGTGAATAGATGACCTCCATGCCTCCTGTCATCTGAAGCGGAGTCGTTTTCCAGCCCGCTCAGGTTTTCATGGATTGCAGGAACTCCACAGGAACATCATGCCAGTCTCTCTTAAATCGGCCTGCTGCCCTCTGGAATCGCTCCTGACAAATGGACAAAAAATGAAATGAAATATTAAAACCTGGAGTTGTTGGACTCTCATTCTGTTGCCATCATAAGTTCCCTTCTAGCATCCTCTGGGGTCTTTAGGCCATGGTTCGCAAGAAAGGTTCCCTTATATTATGCGGCGCCTTCCTGTTTGTTGCCTGGAACGCTTTGCTCCTGCTTTACCTTTGGGGCCGACCTCCCATCGGCCATCTGGGAGATGGTGGAGGAGCCGAACCGGGTGGGAATGAGGAGTGGGCCGCGATCCGGGGGAAAATGGGTCAGGGCAACCTTGCAGAGGAGATGATCCGGCTGGCGGAGGAGGTGGAAGTTCACCTTGATACCCAGAAGAAGCTCCTGAAGCAGATAGAAAGTCACAGAGCGGTGTGGGCGCGGAGGAAGGATGTTGGGAAAAGGGAAAGCAGTCAAAGAGACATCAATGAGCCAGCTGCCCACCCGCAGCGTCAGAGGACTCCAGAACCACTCAGAAAGGATGCCGGGGAGCAAACCCACGCTACGAGGATTGATAAGATGGCTCCAAGCTTATATGGAGACAACGAGCAAACCAGTAACACTAAAGTTACGACACCCAGCCCAGAGCCCATCATCCCTATCCTGGTCATCGCCTGCGACAGAGTCACCGTGAAGCGGAGCCTCGACAGACTCCTTATGTACCGGCCGTCTGCAGAGCTTTACCCCATCATCGTCAGCCAGGACTGCGGCCACGCCGAGACGGCTCGCGTGATCGCTTCCTACGGAGAGCAAGTCACGCACATCAAACAACCACAGCTGTCCGACATCAAGGTCCGGCCAGAGCACAGGAAGTTCCAGGGCTACTACAAAATCGCCAGGCATTATCGATGGGCGCTTAACCAAGTGTTCAACACCTTCTCCCAGTCTACAGTCGTCATAGTGGAGGATGACCTGGAGGTGAGCAGCAGCAGGAAATCCACCTGTTTATTAGGGCTGCAGCTAAACATTATTTAGCAAATCGATTCATCTGTCCATAGTTTTTTGATGCCTCGATTAATAATTGGAAAGCGAAGGCTTCCTTAAAGGCCTAAGGAAATCATATATACATTTTACATCATTCAAAAATCCTGTCTTAACATCTGTGGGGGTTTTTCTTATCTTCTGCAGGCCAGTTAGTTATATTTCAGCTCTTACACCCAGATTCGGCCAATCATATATCAACGGTCATCTGTCCATCAAATTCATATGTTCATTGATTCATATGTCGCAGCTAATATACGCAACGGTTGGAATCAGAATCCTTTCCTTTCCCACTGAGTTGCGTCCCAGTGTTCACGGGGATGGACGTCTGTGTCTTCAGCAGGCGTAGAGCTAACAGAACTGGCAGCGTTGCGAGGCAAGGGCTCAAACATGTACGGCTGGAAGCCTTCTACACCAAACCAAGCTTCTGCCGCCCTGGCGTCCTCTTCCACAACATCGTCGTCGCCGCTTAGAACATGATGTAATAACGTAAAATTAAGGGGCAAAGTAAAAAAAAAAAAAAAACAGCGTTCCCCTTTAAGTAATAAATGTGTGTACTTTTGACAACACTGCGCAGCGGCCTACTGTAGCCATAGGCTGTCGCTACCCGGCAGCTGTGACTAATAACAAAGATGGCGCAGGCACTGCGCAATGGAGGAGGGTTACGTGACCAACGGAGCAAAAAGCAGTGATCATCTGTCTGAACGGTCAGTTAACTGAGTCCACTATAAAGTCCACTATAAAGCCCCCGCTGCATGTGGACACAGTAAGCTTGTATGGGCTATGAGAAAAGCACGGCTCTTGCTCGCCTTGCAGGCACTTTTTTTTTTTTTTTTTAATGGACAGGGTGGGTCTTTTACAAAATTTCCTCAGCAATACCTTTAAAGAAGATTTTTTAAAGAAATTAAACCAGATGAAAGTAAAAATTTTCTAGTTGATGAGTTCTTGATTATAGAGCAGATTGACAGATGAAAACGTATATTTTTTAATTTTTTTTATCTTAAATACAAAATTTGTGTGTGTGTGTATGTATATATGTATATGTATATATATATATATTTACCAACCAGCCAGTTAACTGAGGGTAAAGACACCTGGATTAATTAATCCGATTAGTCGTGTTTTATCCGATTAATTTTTAAGTATTTTAAGATTAATGTCATTGTAATCATCATTATTTAATAGAGGAAATAGTTTATCAAGTTAAAATTTTGGAAATGAAAAATTTACGAAAGAATGCAATCAAGAAAAGCTTTGTAAATGTTTTAATCAGACTATATTTTTTCAAATCTTTTTTTCATGTTTTTATTTTTTCAATTTTTTTTTTTTTTTTTTTTTTTTTTTTTTTAATAATTTTATGTTTCCAATATTTGTTTTTCAGGTTGACTTTTACAAAATTGCAATGTGATCTATTTGAAAGAATGGAGTCAATCTGAGAAATGGAATCAAAAAACATAAAATCTGTAAAATTTGAAAAATTTTAAATATGAAAAATAGATAAAAATAAAAAAAGGGGGAAACAGCAAAGTTTCTTTTAAAACCTTTTCTTTTTTTTCCTCCAAAATATCTTCTTTGTTTGTATCAACATTGGCACTAAATCCACTCTATACTTTGGCCTCTTATATTAATCTGTTGACACAGAAACCCTAAAGTTGGAAAGCTAACATCACCTCTCCTCCCACTCAGGTGGCTCCAGACTTTTTTGAGTATTTCCGGGCCCTGTATCCCATCCTGCGCTCCGACCCCAGCCTGTGGTGCGTCTCCGCCTGGAACGATAACGGCAGAGACGCTCTGATCGACCCCTCCAAAGCCCAGCTCCTCCACAGGACAGACTTCTTCCCCGGCCTGGGTTGGATGCTGCTGAAGGAGCTGTGGGACGAACTGGAACCAAAATGGCCTTCAGCCTTCTGGGACGACTGGATGCGTCAACCTGAGCAGCGTAAAAACCGCTCCTGCATACGACCGGAGATCTCCCGGACCATCACCTTTGGCAGGAAAGGTGTCAGTTTAGGTCAGTTCTTTGACCAATACCTTCGCTATATTCGGCTGAACACGGAGTTTGTGCCTTTCACCAAACAGGATCTGTCTTTCTTGCTGAAGGAGAAGTACGATCCGATGTTTATTCGGGAGGTTTATAGCGCCACATTGGTGAAGATGGAAGACCTTCAGCATGGGGGGAGTCTGAAAGGACCCGGGCCGTACAGGGTGCAGTACTCCAGCAGAGACAGTTTTAAAGTCTTTGCTAGAAATTTGGGAGTGATGGACGACTTAAAATCTGGAGTTCCTCGCACCGGTTACAGAGGCGTAGTCAGCTTCCTGCACCGAGGCCGGAGGGTCTTTTTAGCTCCGCCGGAGGGCTGGACGCAGTACGACTCCAGCTGGAGCTGAGGGTTCTCCAGAAAACGCTGTTAAAGACTAAACCCTCAGACCAAAGAAGAATTCCTGCAGTGAGGGTAGCGGTGAGACCGCTCATAAACAGAAAACAAGGCTGTTCACCTGTTACCGACAGGACCGCCACGCAGAGGAGACGCATTTTATAAACACTGGTGACGTGCCTTGCTTTCTGGACTCTGTTCTCGTGTTTAAATGGAAGCCAGAACGTTGCAGATATCTGCCGCAGCTCCAGGTGGAAGAAGGAAGTCATGGAGCGAAACCCGGGAATTAAAAAGAGGCACGAAGGGTAGAGTCAGAGGGAAACACTTAGGGAGATTAAACTACTTTATGTTTTGTTTTTAAAGAATATTGATCCCATTAAGATTCAGTGTCGTTGGGAGGAAACGGCATCACTAATGATCCAAACGAGTTTAATCCACAATGAGAAGGAAAAACCTCAACCAGGTTATTAAAGGAAAACATGCCTTTGATCTGAAGTTGGTGAGTTTACACTAATGATGGGGGGGCAGAAACACTAACTTTCTCTCATCTAGCAGCACTAAGTTTGGACTAAACCACCTGAGGCCCTCAGTGCTTCACTAATAAACCAAGTTAGCTGATAAATGGATGTTTCTGATTCAGAAAGCAGAGAAGGAAAAGTTCCATCAGCAGGATCATAAGGATCCAGATGCTTCTGCTCAGTTAGGACAGTCTGACTCCTTTACTGCTCACCCGTTTCTACGGGAAACCACCAGTAGTCTGTCCTTTTCAATCAGGCTTGTTCCAGCAGGAAATGCTCCAAAAGATGCCAGAGACTAATAACTGCGGCTCAGAAGGTCTAAAAGTGAGCCGCCGCCACGTTAACGACCAAATTATGGAGGGAATCTCCTTCCATTATTGTTGCTAGTAAAGAAAAAATGCATTCCAGTAATAAAATGTATTGAAGAAAAGTTTAAGCTGGTTTTTCTGATTTTCTTTTTTTCCCTCCTTATAATTATTCTTAAACATTTGTTTATAGATATTATCTTTATATATATTTTTTTTCATATTGTTTTATGACGTTTTCTTCTGAAAAGGCGTTTTACGGATCGCATTCTCTTCCAATGAGCCCGATATGGACGCTCTCTGTCGACCAATAGAAATGCTTCCTCATTTGACCCCAGGAGTAAAGAGGATGTGTAAAATCTATAAAAGGCAGTTTAAAAAGCTCGAAGTGTAAAAAAGAACAGTGATACAATGAAGTAAAATTCTTTTGAAAAAATGTAATCTGAGAAAACTACAAAGATCCAAAAAAAAAAGAAAAAAAAAAACTTTAAATAAGACGTTTTTTAAAAGTTTCTAGTTTATTATTTTTTTTCTTTGCTTGCAAATGGTGCTAATTTCTCTCCGTACTAAACCCAGACCTACGGAGGAGCATTAGGGCCACTGGAAAAAAGAAAAGTTAACAGATTTTTAAATTTTATTTCAGTTTAACATGGGGAAAAAAAGTCAGAATTCTGAGATTAAAGTCAGAATTCTGACTTTTTTCTCATGTTAAACTGAAATAAAATTTAAAAATCCGTTAACTTTTCTTTTCTTTTTTTTTCCCAGTGGCCCTAATCCTCTTCCGTACAGACCCATGGTTCCCAGCCCTTTGCCTTTTGTTTTTCTGCTTCAACAAGCCTGATTGCAGCTGTGAGGGATTGCAGGACACCTGCAGAGCTGCTCAGGTAATCTGACCAGTGTTGAAGCAGGAATACTGTGGAAAAGAGCAGAATGTGAGGAATAATGCCCAGAAACGGTGGAGCAGAAAAAGGGTGAGTTTTGCAAAGGAAGATGTCCTAAAGGTAGTGATGAATCAATCCTTAGAGCAGCTGAATGATGGCGAAGCAACAAAAATGCCACATGAGGTCAGCTGAATGAATGAAGCCAGGTTAGAAGTTGAGAAGGGGAAGATTTTATTGTTGATTATTATAATTTTTTTTTTTTTTGGTAAACGGCCCCTGAGACAGAATGATGCCGGAGCGATTGGCGTACATTCTGAGGTTCTGGTTGATGGGATTTCTTGTAGCGATGACATCACATCTGAAGCTCGGCTGTTTTTGGATTAATGTAAATCCAACAAATGAATCGTTTGTCCTGCAGCGAACCTGGAAACATCATCATTATCACTGTACTGTAATTAGCTTTGGGTTATTAGAGAACCATTTCTGTACGGTGATGTGAAAAGAAACCACTGCCTGAATTGTTTATAACTTTATTACAGAAAAAAATAATAAAATGAACTATTTTGATATTTGTTTACTCTGTGAAGACGTCTGTTTATAACTGAACTTTGTTCTGTTGATGTCATTTGAGTTCATTAACTGGGATTTAGATTCTAGACCTGACTTTTTGTTACGCTAAAGCAAGCAAACCTACCAAAGGATTTCCATGAACTTATTCCACATTTTTACACATTTCCCTTTAGTCTGAGAACATGTTTGTCCTGCAGGCTAAGCTGAGATCAGCAGTTCCCTCTGATTCATCGCTGGTCGGCTTCCTTAACTCGTCCACATCCTCTTTCATAAACATGCCCTGGGAAAAGAAAATGCAGAATCTGACGGTTTCAGGTCACGGGGTTCTGACCTCTGATTGAGGTTATAGTTAAGACAAATAAAGGCAGCCAGGGTCAGTTCCTTCTGTAAACGCCACAGAGAAACCAGCACAGCGCAGCATTTCTCAGCATCCAGGATGGAGGAGATGTAGCTGAGAATATTCTACTCTAAATACTCTTTAAAAATACATCCAAATTCTCCAATCTTGGTGGTTGATTTTTAATCCACGACTATTTGAATCAATCCTATTAGTTGCCTTGGAAAATATTACATATTTTCAAGTATTTGTGCTTTTGTTGTCATAAAATGGGGTCTAATAAGAATTAATTTGATTAATTTCCCCCCAAAAGCTAAGAAAGTGCTAAGTAGCCTCTGAAGCAGGATATCACTGCTGTTTGTTCCTTCTTTTTTTATTAATCACTTTCTTTTTTGAGTTTTCCTTTTATACATACAGTTTGTAAATATATTTATCCAGCAAAGATGGATATAAAATGATAATACAGAAAAATCAATCCCTACAAAATAAAATCCCATTTAGCCCACCCAGGTCACTACCAAGACGTCAACGCACTACTTTCCTATCCCTGACTGAGACAGATTTATTAAATCTAATAAATCTTTTTAATCCGGAGCATTGTTGTAAGTTTTGGAATGAGTCAAGAAAGGGCCCCCATATTTCTTCAAATTTACCAGTTGAATGTACTATTTTAAACTGAACGAGGCAATGGCGCGCACACAGAGATGACGTATTCACCAGTTAAAGTATAGAGTCCCATGTCTGATCCGGTATGGTCATATTCAAGTCCTCTTCCCATGAGGCTTTAAGTGTGGAGGTCTCTTTCATAGTAAACATTTCATTATAAAGCCACGAAACCGGCCCTTTATGAGTTGGGTTCAATGATAGGATGGTTTCCAACAGTGTATTTCGTGGCAGAAAGATTGAGCCTGACAAATGAGACTGAATAAAGTTTCTGGTTTGTAAATATCTAAAAAAAAAAAATGGGATTTAGGTAAACCAAATTTGTTGCTAAGTTCCTCAATGAAAAAGTCCTTACAGTAAGTAAGTCCCCTCTGCTGCCACTCTAGAAACTCCCCATCCTGAACTGATGGTTTAAAAAATGGTTAAGAAGGAGAAATGGTGGAGTTTAAAGTATTTCCTAAACTAGCCCCATATTTTCAGTGAGTGTTTCACTACTGGGTTTAAAGCAGGGTTAGATGAGGAGAGTGAGGCTCTCTCAGGCAGGACAGCCCCCTGATTATGATAGAAATACCAGAACGCTAGGCATCTAAGATTGGCAGCCCAGTAATAGAACTGAAAACTGGGGAAGTTAATTTATTAAGTCTTGGGTGTTTACCCTGCCAGATGAAAGATGAAAAAGTTGAGTCTAGCTCATTAAAAAGTGTTAGGAATGAAAATAGGTAATTCCTAAAAAAGGTATAGAAATTTGGGAAGTATATTCATTTTAATTGAGTTGATACGTCCCCCAAGGGACATGGAGAGGGGTGTCCACTTTGTGAGGGATTCCTTTACTGGGTTCAACAGCTTAATCAAATTCTCAATAAACAGATTTTTATGTTTTTCTGTCACTGTGATACCAAGGTATGTACATCCATTCTAAATGGCAGGTTAGCAAAGTCTGACATGCTAACTTCATTACCTATGGGAAAAGCTCACTTTTGGTAAGGTTCAATTTATACCCGGAATTCTGACCGAATTGGCTAAATATATTGAGAGCAGAAGGCAATGAAGTTGATGGTTTGGAGATAAAAAGTAGAAGATCATCTGTGTATGGTGACACTTTGTGTTCCATGTCATTCCTCCTAATGTCGGACATCTCTTTACTGGTTTTAAGTGCGATCGCAAGGGGCTCTATGGCCAGATCCAAAAGCAGGGCGCTAAGAGGGCAACCCTGACGGGGGCCACTTTGTAGTTTACAGTAAATGGTTTTGAGGTCTGAAAGTTGTTACAAACTGTGGCAGATGGTTGCTGGTATGATAATTTAATCAATGAAATGAAGTTTGCTCCAAAGCCAAATCTGCTAAGGACTGTAAATAGATAGTCAAACTCAACCCGGTCAAAGGCTTTTTCGGCTTCCAGAGAGACCACACACTCAGCCGAATCCGTGGCACCAGAATAAAAAAAGATATTGAGCAGTCTTCTAATATTAAAATATGAGTGCCGACCTTTAATGAAGCCTGTTTGGTCTTTTGAAATAATTGAAGGTAAAACTGTTTCAAGTCTATGGGAAAGAATTTTGGCCAAAATTTTCACATCGGTATTTAGGAGAGAGATAAGTCTGAAAGAGGTGCATTCCACTGGATCTTTGCCTTTTTTTGAAATGAGTTTGATACAAGCATAGAATGATTAAGGAAGGGATCCGTGTTTAAAACTGTCAGTAAAAGTGGAGCTGAGCTGCACACAGAGTAAGTCTGAGAACTGTTTGAAAAATTCTGCAGGGAAACCATCCGGTCCTGGGTAGTTGCCAGGTTGCATTGAGGCTATTGCTAGGGATACTTCTGCATGAGACATAGGTTAATCCAACTTATTCTTAAATTCTGGTGAGATTACAGGAATGTGAAGCTTAGTTAGAAAATCATCAGTCATGTTAGAATTGGTTTATGATTGTGAGCTGTAAAGCTCCTCATAAAAGTCCCTGAATGCATCATTAATTTGACAATGGTCTGTGACTACACTGCCATCTTGTTTTCAAATTCTGAAAATAGCTTGCCTTGCCCTAGAACCCTTGAGCATGGTTGCTAGTAATTTATCAGGTTTGTCGCCATGCACATAAAATTTATATCTGTTATGTAAAAGCAGGCGTTCGGCTGAGTGTGTCGTCAATAGGTCAAGCCTTGTTTTAAGTTCAACTCGTCTTTTAAACAGTTCAGGACTTTGATTCAAATTATATTTTATGTCGACCTCTTTGATTTGCTGAGTTAGGTTGTTCTCTTCATAGGTAGCTTTAATTTTTGCTGCATAAGCAATAATCTGGCCTCTGATGTAGGCCTTAAAGGCATCCCATACCATGAGGATGAAGGTCTCGTGGGAAGAGTTACTACCAAAAAAGCAGAGTTGAATTAAAACGCCATCGTCCAGTTCTTAGGGGAAGATGGGGTAGTGATAGGGACATAGTGAGTTGGGCATGGTCTGAAATAATTTTGCTTTGGTAGTCACAGAAACATATCTGCTGTAGCCATTTTGCATCCATAATAAAGTAGTCGATTCTAGAATATGTTTTGTGTACATGTGAAAAGTTTGAGTAGTCCCTCTTATTGGGATTTAAAGTTTGCCAAACATCACACAGCCCATACTCAGATAGAAAGGCTTGTATAACTAATGCAGACTTGCTTATGACTTTGCTTTTAAGGGATGAGCGGTCCAAAACTGGGTCCAGCCAACAGCTGAAATCACCCCCTAGGACCAGTGAGTATTTATTGAGGTCTGGTAATGAAGAGAATAGTTGCTTTAAAAAGTTCTCATCATCTATGTTGGGAGCTTAAACATTGACCAGAGCGACCAGAGTGTCGTGCAGCTTCCCACTCACCATTATAAATCGGCCATGTTTATCAGCCGCCACATTATTGGCCTCAAACGGAGTATTCTGGCTGATATTCTGGCTTAACCTGAAAATGGGAGTGAAAAAATTGTCCCCTCCAGCATGTCAGAAGACGACCTCCGTCCGAGATCCTGATGTTGAGTTTCTTGCAGAAACGCCACATCTATATTAAATTCC